CTAGAGAGATGGCTCAGCAGTTAAGAGCACTGGCTGTTCTTGCAGAAGACCTGGGTTCGAATCCCAGCACTCACATGGCAGCTAACAACTGTCCATAACTCCAGTTCCAGGGGATCTGACAGCCTCTTCTGTCCTCTGCAGATATTGCATGATATGGGTGCACTTACCTACATGCAGGCAATACATGCATACACATTTAAAAAAAAAAGCAAGATAGACAGATCCTTAGCCCAGTTACCCCACCCCCCCAAAAGAGCAACTCCAAATAAACAAAATCAGAGATGAAAGGGGAAACATCACCCAGAAGATAAGGGAATACTTAAAAAAAAACTCTATTAAATCTGAAAACCTAAAAGAAATGGATGTGTATCTAAAATCTTGGGAACTACCAAAGCTAAACCATGAAGAGATCAATAGTTCAAACAGACCCAAAACATATAAGGAAATTGAAACAGTAATACAAAACCTCCTGACTAAAAAAAGCCCAAGCCCAGATGGATTTACAGCAGAATTCTACCAGACATTTAAAGAAGATCTGCAATCAATACTTACATTATTCAAAAATATAGAAGCAGAGGGAAAACCCTCAAATTCCTTCTATGAAGCCAGCATCACTCTAGTACCCAAACCCAGTAAAGACAATCAGAAAAGAAAACTATAGATCCATACCCTTAATGAACATAGATACAAAAATCCTCCACAAAATACTTGCAAACCGCATACAGACACACATCAAAAAAAAAAAAAAATCATCCACCTCCCAAAATTATATAAGCTATTGCCGTCCTTGATTGCCTCCCAGAACTTGAAGATAAGACCCTACGGCTTAAGACAGGACATACTTTGAACACAGGATTTGGAACAATGGCGCTGAACTGACCTGGAAGCCCCCTCCCCTGAAGGCTGCTCTCACAGGTTTGGAGAGCACTATGCAAGCTGCTGAGGGAGAACATCAATCGATGTCTAACCCCAGCTTCAAGGCCTAAAAACCACACCAATGACCAGCACAGGAAACGACATTGGTGCAGTAGTGGCACTTTTATCTTGGGGGTAATCAACAGCTACCTAATTAGACTTAGAGCCCACTCAATGGGAGGAAACTCATGTTTGGTACTATAAACACAGCCAAACACACATAGCTGGAGAGGTCACAGATCTTAGAGAAAACCCCAAGGCTCTCACATCCCTAGACAAATGTAATTTCTTACTAGAGGCAAAATACGGATCCTTATATTTACAGACAAATATCCCAGTCACCACCCATCAAAGTAGCTTCTTTTTCAACAGAGATTTTTGCAGTTACACCACTGGTCACACACAGAGAGTCTCTGTGCTTGCCCAAGCGTAAGTGACACATCCAGGATGCAACCTCTACACCTAAGACTCACAGAACATAGCACACGGGATGAAGAGAACACCCCTAATGTATCTCTCTATTCTCATTAATGAAGCTCCCTCATGCAACAGAGGGCCAGGAACACAAAAAGCCACAAATGGCCAAAATGCAGAGAATAAGAGTCAGCAGAGTGTGGGCCCTTGGACGGGTCTCCTATATTGAGGTCCCCCCCCACCCAGGGCTCAGGGACCATTGTGGAAGAGGGGGGCAGAAAAATTGTAGGAGCCAGGGAGGAGGTACATTACCATAGGGAAATAGTCCTACAGGTGCCTGGAACCCTTCTCATACAAACCTACAGCAATGGTGTCAGCCTGCACAAGACCCATGCAGACTTAAGCAGACAAAAACCCAGCCCAGAACTGTGGAAATGAACAGCAGGCCCCAATTTTAGTAGAATTATTGGCAGCTGATTACTGCTGGGTGAGGAAGAGGTGATCTTCTTAAAGGGAGGGGTTGACGAGATCCCAGAGGATGAACTTGCACTGAAGGACATCTGGGGACACTAACTTTACATGATAGGCCTGAACACAAATGACAGAATGTTAACTCCATGGCGGGGAGGTTATGGGAGGTGCCAAGGGGAAGGGGTATAAAGATGATTTTATGAATGAAATAGACAAAAATTCAACAAAAAGTTTTTAAAAAAAGATTCTGTAGGATACTTGGGGGTAAGATGAGGAAGAACAGGTGTGTGCATGTTCTGGGGAGAAGACCCAGGACACTCAAGAGACCCTGACCAAGACTGCCTTATAGAAACAACTGCAGCCAGGCGTGGTGGTGCACTCGGGAGGCAGAGGCAGGCAGATCTCTGTGAGTTCGAGGCCACCCTGGTCTACATAGTGAGTTCCAGGTCGGCTGGGTCTCAAAAAGACCAAAACAAAATGAAACAAAAACCACAGCTGAAGCACTGGGACTGCTGAGGTTCAGGGAACAGCCACCCGTGCCCTCCAGTTTGTCCTCTGCTTCCATTCCCTCCTTCCCATTTGGCCTCTGACCCTTTCCCATCCAGAGACCCTGCAGGAGGTTGTGTCCACAGCAAACTGCCTGACCTGGGATGAAGGAGCTCAGTCAGTAGAGAAGCTGCTAGTAGACAGGTGAGCCTGCCTTTGTGCCAGTATGACTCTTGGGTGGCCCCGAGCGGCCAGTAGGGGCAGTGCAGGGAGAAGTGGGGGCTCTTCCAGGATTTTGCCAGCTGATCAGTACCTTCCCAGCACGTGTATGTAACACAAACACACACACACACACACACACACACACACACACACACACACCACACAACTTCTGCGGAGTCAAAATGGATAGGCAACAGTGATCATCATGGGGAAATCATGCCCCTTCTTATCATTCAGAATGATTAGTGTGCTGGTTGTGGAGATCTGGGCAACCTGGGCGGTGGCTTGACAAGGTTATGTAGGTCAGCACAGGATAACAAGCAGCAGAAGAAAGAGCTATGAGCTATTTCAGAAAAGAAAAAAACAGCTCTGATCATGCTCCTAAAGCCTGCAGCTTCACTTTGCAGTTGAGTAAACTGTACTTGTCTTCCCGGTTTCCCTTTGTTTATGAGGTTTTCCAAGTCCTTGCCTGTTGATGGTGTAATTTGCTTAGCCAGACAAGCAGGTACTGTACACAATAAGTTCTTCTAAATATAAGGGGTGATTAATCAAGGAAAATCAAACTGTGAGCCCCTGTACCACTCCTTCCTGGCTGGTCCCAGATACCAGCTTGTTTATTTAGTGTCACCCATAGTCTGTCATGGCTGACCTAAAACTATCAGGAACAGCCACAATGGCAGCCAAGCATAAACAAAAACCTGAACTGAAGGTGCAGAGGGACTGCCATTGCATAGATAAGATCTATTGCTGTAATAGCCCTTGATTATGAAGACCAAAGGAGAAAAAGCACCAAATACACAGACACTTCTCTGTTTACTTATGTATGAAGAGGGAGGAGGGAGGCAAATCATGTACAGAGAGGAGGGGAAAGAAGGAATAAGGTTTCCTTACGTGGCAGTGTTTCTTGGTTTATAAAGCAAGATTCTGTGATAGCAGGGAATTGCTTCTAGTTTCCTTTGTGTATTGATATTCTGCAATACTTAAGTGAATGCTGGTGTTCAGCACTCTCTCCTTTCTCCTCTCTCTCTCTCTCTCCCTCCCCCCCCCTCTCTCCTCTCTCTCTCTCCAGGGGTTCACCATGTATCCCTGATAGGCTGCTATGTAGACCAGGCTGGCCTCCAACCCACAGAGATGGGAAAACCGCCTGCCTCTAACCCCTAGAGTGCGGAGATTAAAGGCATGTACCACCATAATCAGTTCCTTTTCTTTATATTTTTTTATTTTATGTGTATGAATGTATTGCCTGCGTGTATGTGAGTGCAGCCGTGTCGTGCAATGCCGCAGAGGTCAGAAGAGGGCTTCGGATTCCCCTGGAACTGGAGTTAAGGACGGTTCGTAGCCGCCATGTGGGTGCTGGGAACGGAACCCAGGTCCTCTTCAAGAGCGGTCAGTGCTCTTATCCACTGAGCCATCTCTCGGGCCCCTCCCTTTTTGCTTTCTTTCTTTCTTTCTTTTTTTTGTCTTTTTGAGACAGGGTCTCCCTGTAGCCCCAGCTGTCCTGGAACTCGCTATGTAGACCAGGCTGGCCTTGAACTCACAGAGATCCGCCTGCCTCTGCCTCCCGAGTGCTGGGACACAGGCGTGTGCCATCATACCCAGTTCCCGTTCTCTTTTCTTTTTTCTTTTTATTTGGTCAGGCAGTTAGGATGGGTTTTCCCACATCAATTAACTTAATCTAGGAAAAAAAAAAAGAAGGGCGGAGCCGAACAGAGAGGCGGAGCCTGAGGAGGGCGCCTGGGCCGCACTGAATGACGGGTCCGTGGTGGGGACGAAGCCTGGGCCCGGTTCCTCCGGAACAGAGCGCGGTTTCCCCAGGGATGGGCCTTCCGTTCCGGGCCGTCCCCGGCCTCAGCTGGCGAACACGGAGCGGTGGGGCTCCCTGTCCTGCGCGGCTGCTCCAGTCCCGCTCAGCGCGGTTCCACGGCTCCCAGCGGGGCGGGGCGTCGGCGGCTTCTCCCACGGGTTCGCCCTCCTTCGCCTGTCCTACCCTCGAGGGCGGCTGGCGTGTTCCCGCGGGATCCCACAGTGGGAGTGCGCACCCCGAAACCGCGTCCGAGGGGCCGGCAGGTGGAGGCGCGCACGCTGCGGGGACCGCGCGGAGGGGTAGGAGGGGCGGTGCTGGGCGGGGCCTCGGCAGGAGGGCGGGGCGGGGCTTGGCTGTGGCCGGGCGGGGCCTCCTCGCGCGGGAAACGGAAGCCGAAGAGCGTCAGCCTGGTCGCTGTGGAGCGCTCCTCGGACCGTCCGTTGCGGGGTGACCCGGAAGCGCTCGTCGAGGCCCCGCCCCCACCTACACATTATTGCTGCCGGGGGAGCACCAACTTCCTTTTTGCGCTGGTGCTGGACTGGGAGGAGGCAGGTGGGCCGCG